GTGGAGGAGGGAGTGGGGGTGGAGGGGGCGGGGGAGGGGGAGGTGGGAAGAGGGATCCAGACACAGAGCCACTATCCACTGCATGCAGGTACCCGCGGCCGTTTCCCTGTCGACTCGTCTTGACCATCGATGGCTGACGACTTGGCGGTGGCGGCGGGTCACCAGCAGCATGCTGCCTGAGCGATGATATGGGAAGAGTCAGCCTGTCGCCGTTCTCCTGATCCCGCTGCTCCACGCTGCCTCTGAGGGACGGCGCAAAGACCGGCGGCGGACACAGAGTGCGCGACGATGCTGTTGATGGCACATGCAAAGCGGCCGAGTGATGAGAGATGGCGCTCACGACGGACGAGGCCTCCTGCCGCTCTGCTGCCGACACCTGCCGCCTCTGCTGGCCCCCTTCCATCGCCGCGAGAGCAGGCGGAGGACGATATCAGAGAGGCCGAGCGATAAGAGCTTGAGAGAAGAAAGCCTTCGTTGGCGCCATTCTGTGCACGCCCACATACATCCCTTTTAGCGAGAAAAAGGCGCGGGCGAAATGCAAGCTGCCCTTTTCTGTTCTGCCTGGCCTTCCAGCCTGCCCTCCGCAAGCTACAAGAGCAGTTCCCCGACGCGCTCGTCGCTGGCTTCATGGATGACGGCCTGGGGGGCATGGACGAGTGGGTGGTGGCCCCCTTTCTGACGGCGGCCGCAGCGGAGTTTCTGGCGGTGGGCTTGGCGCTGCGCTTGGACAAATGTCGAGCGTGGTCCCCTCACTGGCGCACACCTGCCGACCTCCCCACAGCCATCACTCGCCGCGGCGTCCGCGCGTCCACCGACGGCATCATCATCCTCTCTGCCCCGATTGGCACGCCTGCCTTCGAGGACCGCACTCTGCAGGCCATTGTGGCCGGCCATCAGCGTCTGCTCGACGCGCTCGTCGCCTGCAGGCGTGCAAATCGGGGCAGAGAGGATGATGATGCCGTCGGTGGACGCGCGGACGCCGCGGCGAGTGATGGCTATGGGGAGGTCGGCAGGTGTGCGCCAGTGAGGGGACCACGCTCGACATTTGTCCAAGCGCAGCGCCAAGCCCACCGCCAGAAACTCCGCCGCGGCCGCCGTCAGAAAGGGGGCCACCACCCACTCGTCCATGCCCCCCAGGCCGTCATCCATGAAGCCAGCGACGAGCGCGTCGGGGAACTGCTCTTGTAGCTTCCGGAGGGCAGGCTGGAAGGCCAGGCAGAACAGAAAAGGGCCCGCCGCATCGCCTTGCTGCACGCCCTGCTGGCTGCTCTCTTTGAGAGTCTTGAAAGCTTGCAGGAGTAGATGCCTGCCGAACCCCTCTCTCGTACTGTTTTGCCGGCGCTCCCTGCAGATCTCCCCCCTTGAGAGGTGAAATCGGACGAGCAGAACCCACCGGCCTTCATCCACCGTGCAGCAAGGAGCATGTTATTTGTCTGTCCGCTCTACCTCGCCCTCCTCCCCTCCCTCCTCCCACATCTCATCATCCTCATCGCCCTCCTCCCGCCCTCCTCCTCGGCCTTCGTCGTGCCGCTCGGCAGGGTCGCCGTCTCATCCTCCTCATCGCACAACCCGCGGCACACCGCACTAAGGGCTGAGAGTGAGCAGGCTGTGGACTTTGACGAGGCGGTGGAGCTGGTGAACGGGCAGGGCACACCGCTGCTGGTGGACTTCTTTGCCAGATGGTGGGCAACCGGGCTGGACACACGCACGCATGTGTGTTGCGTGCTTGCATTGTGTTGTGGTGACACAATTGTGTGTCGGTTCGTTCGGTTGTGTGGGTCTGTCTGTGTGCAGGTGTGGGCCTTGTCAGGTGCGCACTCGCACAATCCGTGTGTGAGTCTCTTGCCGATCGACCGACTGCATTACTTCCTTATCGCATCGTGTGTCCGTCTGTCTGTCTGTCTGGCTGATGTGTGCTCCCTCCCATCGATTCGATGAGTGAGTTCAGATGATGTCGCCAGTGCTGGAGAGCGTCGCGCGTGACCTCAAAGGCAAGCTGGTCGTGGCCAAGGTCGACACCGACCTCAACGCAGACATCGCAAATCGATACGGCATTCAGGCACGTGTCATGTCCACACCACGCACACTCAATCACAGGAATAAACGCGCCACAGCCGCCATTGTGGTGTGTGTGTGTGTAGGGTCTTCCCACGTTGATTCTGTTCATGGAGAACAAGCCGGTTCACCGGATCGAGGGCTACATGGAGCCACAGGACCTCATGCGCGAGCTCGAACCATTCCTCACATCCGATGAGGACGATAGTGAGGGCGGTGATGACGAAGGCAGCAGCACCCAGATGGTCGCAGAGGGGGGCGGGCAGCAACCTAAAGTCGAGAGGGAAGAGTAGGGCTTGGCTTGGGAGAGAGAGGCGGTAGAGGGAGGGAGGGAGGGAGGAAGGCAGGGAGGCCACGCACGACCCTGTTGTGTCGTGTGGTTGGTTTGATGGGATTGTTGGTTAGGTAGGTAGCTGAGTGTTTTTCTCGTGAGGTCTTCAAGTTGTCTTGTCGTCGTGCAGTACGTGTCGTGTCATCTTGTCTTGTTGCTTTGGATCGCATACATCCAGCTGGGAGAGTGACAGACAGAGACAGCTGGACCGATTCGTGCACTCGTCCGACATTGATGGGTCCGTGCCAGCCCAGCCAGTTGATTGTGTTCGTGTCAGTCAGTCAGTCGCCACTTGGCCAGGAACGGCGAGAATCCTAACGGCCAAGCTGGCAGTTGATTGTCGCGGCAAGAATGCGAGCATGCCCGCCCAGTTCAGCAGCACACCTCTCGTCCCCAAGCACAGACGTCCCGCCCACCGGCTGCCCCGCCCCCCCTGTCTGCTCCACTGCTGGCTGACCCTCTTCTCCCTCTGCGTCGCCTCCCTCCTCGTCACCCTCATCCACCTCCAGTCACACGCAGCTATGATGCACACACTCGACGCCGACGAGGCTGTCGTCGAGTGGCTGGCGCCCCGCACCAGCTCGACCAAGACCGTGGCGAGTGGCACCGCGTACGGCGAGTGGCGGGTGCCTTACAACACGACGGACCTGCCGGCGACGAATTTTGACGACTGGCTGACAAAGGACGACCTCATCAGGGTGCTTTATCAGACCCCCTACGCGCGGGAACAGGCTGCGCGTGCAGAGGGGGGAGATCGGGGTGGGAGTGGGGATCGGGGTTCGGATGATGGTCGTAATGATGTCAAGGACGACGGCGTCATTTTCTTTTCGTCGGCTTACAACGGTAGCGAGTCGACGCGGGAGGCATTGATGCGCTCGCGACAACAGAGTGGTCAGGGCAAGACGAAGAAGCGGACACAGAAGGCAAAGAAGAAGGAGATGCTCTTGATGGTACGTACGTCAAGCGAGAGGGAGGGGAGGAGACCATGACTGACGTCACGTCTGCACGTCTGCCTGCCTGTGTGTGTGTGTCTTGGTGGTGTGGTGTGCCTGGCAGGGTTATGAGTCGAGATGGACGCCACCGGTGGATGAGCGGATCGGGTGTGGGCAGTCGGGTCTCATCCCAAGGATACTGCACACCTCGTGGCCAGACAGGAACATCCCCCAGCGATTCAAAGTACGTACGCCAGACGAAATCAATGGGTGCACACACAGGAATGTTTCTGCAGGGCCCACCTGTCTGTCTGTCTGTCTGTCCTTGTTTATATATGCAGCCGTATCTTGATGCGTGCTATGCCCTTCACCCCTCACCCACTTTCCAGCAGCACTTCTACACCCACTCGGGGATCAGACGACTGGTCAAACGACACTTCCCCCACCTGCTCGACGCCTTTGACGCGCTCGACGACGGGAGGAAAGACGACGTCGGCCGGGCGGTGGTGGTGTGGGTCCATGGCGGCGTCTATATGGATATGGGTCAGTCGGCTCACCTCACACAGAGGAGGGACAGACAGATGTGGTGCGTGTGGGGACTCATCTCATGCCATGTGTGCATTGCATTGATGGCGTGGTAGCATTCGATTGTGTGCGGTCGATCGAGGATCTCCTGGACCACGCCGAAGAAGGGGCAAGGGACATCGTCCTCGGCCAACATAACCCCGTCCAGGCGCACCTCGTCGAGCAAATGACGAATTTTCGTGGACCTCCCGTCCCCGTCTCCCATGCCTTGATCGCCGCCTCCCCCCGCCACCCCCTGCTGCTCACCTACATCAACGCCACCATGGACACACAGTCCGCCGCTAGGTCAGCCTCTCAGGCCATGACGATGGCCGTGGAGCAGTCGATCCGCCGGGAGAGACAGGACACCGAGTGCAGTATGGACCCTGCTTTAGAGCGCCTGGGGTCGGTGCTGGTGGTGCCCTATACACACCTGCACCCAGAGGTGCCTTCGGCGAGCCACGTGTACTCGGGCAAGTGCAGAATGGGCGTCAACCAACCAGGGAGGGCGAGACGCACGCACAGATACACCTTTGACACCACCAGCAGCTGGGGCTGGAGCAACCGCAGTGAGGCTGGCGGCAGAATGGAGGTCTTGTCTTTTGTGTATGACGATCTCGCTGACAAGGAGTGGGCGGTGTCGGGTTGCGGGCTGCTGAGTGAGGCCATGCGCGACCCTCTGATGTTCTACTCTAACGAGACGTACGCCGTGCTGCACTATGACGCCAGGAATGAGAGCCATGGCGCTGGCAGAGATGAGAGCGAGGCAGCGGTTGATGTGGCGGACCTCACTGAGGGCAGCGCGGAGCTGCTCGTAATGTCTTGATGTAGGGAGACAGACAGACAGACAGACGAGTGGGTGGGTGAGAGGGGACGGAGTGTGTGTAGACAGACATGTGTAGCTAGATCACTCCACTGTGTGCATGTCTATCCGTGCCGTGCGTGTGTGTGATGGCACAAACTAGATAGGAGGCAGGTACAATGAATAGCTCAGGCTATGTATGCTATCAGATCAGGCACACAAAAGTTTGTGTTTGTGCCGGCGTGTTGTATATCGATTGTTTTGATCTATTACAGGGTGCGGGCGGCCAAAGGGGGGGACGGGCATGGCCTATACTCTGCTTAGAGTCTGTATACTATAAGGTCGTCCATAGGCAGCGCAGCCCTGAGTTAGGTTTGGACACAGAACAGACGGATGTCTTGGGTCTGAGTGATTGCCATTTGATTGCCATTTGACCTGACCCCTCGGAAAAGTCGCCATGCCATGCGGAGAGCATGCTATCCGAAGGACCCACGAGACATACACACGGGACCATGCACACGAATTGCAATGCATTCAGAGAAGCCCATCCATCCATGCATCAGAACCGCCATCTTTTCTGCTCCCTTGCCCTCCAGTCAGCCTGCCACTCACGAGGCAGCCGCCTCGCAATCGTCACCGGCAAGTAGAACAGCAACCCGGTCCTCCCCATCCCATTCTTCCTCCTAGCCCTCGCGAAGCCATCCCTGTCCACAAACTGGTGCGGCAATGGACACCCCTCCTCCCCGTCCCCCGCCCCCCCTCCCTTTCCCTCTTGCTGCTCTTTTTGAGTCCGCTGCCAGATGGAGGGCAAGAATGTCCGCACTGGGAAGTGGAGCGATGAGGCCGTGACGACCGACGAGGCGACGCTTCTCCTCGGAGATGAGTCGCCACCCCGCCGTGTGTGTGTCTCTGCTGGGTGAGGCGGAATGGCGGGGTGCTCGTGGTCGTGGTTGTGGTCGTCCATCCATGTGTCCGTCTGCACATCGACCGTCCTGAACGTCGTGGGGCTTTTGGGGCTCTTAGGGCTCTTCCGGGCGGACGAGAGGCAGGGAGACACCCTCATTCTCGCAGCGGACACCGGCTGCGGCATCCTCACCAACGGCACCACTTGACGCGTCTGAGCACACCCACCACACCCAGGCAGAGAAGATAATAAGAGCTGCAAGTACGAGCAACAGTAAGTGTCTCCGCCCTTCCCCCGTCAGTCTCACCTTGCCCCTCGGCGAGACGAGCTCCCGGAACGTCTTGGCCTCACCCTCCCCGCCCTTCATCTGCCCCAAGTACCGCGAATACGACACTCTCCCACCACCGCTCTCCTCCCTGCTGCCCGGCCGCTGGGGCGCCAACGCCAGCGGCACGGGAGAAGGGGAGGAGGGCGAGGGCGCCGTCGGGGTGCAGACATCGGCAGTGACAGCAGCAGCGGTGGGAGCGGCCGTGGCAATGTCTTCCCTTGTGAGGGTGTGGCGGGGGGATGCTGGTGGAGAGTGGGCGGGAGATGAGGGCGGCGAGGTGGATGGAGGGGCTGGGGCGGCGGCGGTCGTGACATTGCGGTTGCGGGGGATGAGGCGATGTAGGGCTGATCAACGAAGGCAGAAGGAAGGGAAAACAGTTGGGGAACTTAGATGAATGACTGCCTTGCCTTGCCTTACCTGTGTCCAGATGCACCTTGAGCACCGTCACAGCCGGCGTCTCCGGCTCGTTTTTCGACCTATCAGCCTCCACGCCAACGCGTCCATGCCTCACGACCGCAGTCACACCTTTCTTCTGCTGCAGAGAAGCGACTCCGCCCTTGTCCTTTCTTCCCCTGCTCTCCCCCTCGCGAGAGTCCTTCTGTGGCTCCAGGGCTCTCGTTCGTAGGTGTCGCCTTCTCACGTCGCTTGTCAGGCCGTTGAAGCGTCCGTTGCCCTGGTCAGCACTCGTGGGGGATTGCGGCTTGAATGGTCGCTTCAGGCGCCCGGGCGCCCGAGGACGCTTCGCTGCTGGGCGGGGAAGGTGAAGCGAGCCCTCCCTCTCCGGCACGACGCCTGAAGGGGAAGAGAGCAGTTCATGCGACAAGATGAGTGGATGGGGCTTACCGAAAAGGCGCTGTTCTCGCATGGCGCCAGGGATCTTATCCATCTCAATGGTCAGCAGTGCAACAAACAGGGCTGATCATTCCCCCTCAACCCACTTCGTCATTGCGAGCTTAGCTCTGCGAATCGGCGATCGTGCCTTCCAGGCACTTTGTGCCGCCAACGAGGAATACCTGCCAGTGGACGTTCTTTCCTGTTGCATTCATGATCCTGGGCTGTTCAGCAACACACAACAATCGACAGGTCTGGCCAGGAATCCCATTCGTGGATGTATCAGGGAGCACTCAGCATGCATCAGGGAGCACTCAGCAGTCATCAGGGAGCACTCGGCAGGCGTCAGAGACTCGGTTTTCATTGCAACGTCCCGGTTTTCTGCCCTGAGGACCGGTTTTCTGATGCCTGTGGCTGGTGGGAGCAGCTGGTTTTCTGTACGGGGCGCTCGTGGAGATGGAAAACCAGTTTTGCGCTTGTTTCCCGCTGGTGGTGACTGTCTGGCCAGCTTAATGAGTGGAGGGCCAGCCTGCCGGCCGAAGCACCAGTTTTTTTGCCGCACCTCGTCGGGTAGTGTGGCAGCTGCAGCTGCGGTCAAGGAGGCTTTTGGCTTTGGGGGACGGCTGAAGAGCCAAGGGGACAAGGACACCGAACCAGTGAGGTTTCTCATCAGATACCAATGAATGACTGACAGATTCATAGGCCGTGTAGGCGAGCCGAAAGTGTGTTCACTCACTGCTTCTGTCGGAAACTCCGCAACCCTCATGAGAAACACATACACACACACACACGCGCACACACGCGGCTGCACTCACTGCACTGTGCTGTGATAAAAAACTGACCAGACGGCGCAAAAAGTGGCCGGTCGCCTTAAACCCTCAGGACATATAGCCTACAACCACATCAGACGGCAGGCAGACGAACAGAGCATCTGATCTGTAGGGCCTAACTAATAAAGCGTAAATAAAGCACAAAGGGCAGACAGGCAGACAGGCAGGCAAAGATCACTAAGTTCGACACACGTCACAGCACCGCACCACATGTGCCTCTCCTCTCTATGATACACCCTGCTCCGTTGATCGATCGCACAACGCACCGACTAACAAATGACACAATCACTGCTCCATTGAATGCACACACACCCACACACACACCCACACGCATACCCCCGTCTGTCTGCCCGCCCTCTCAAGCCACAAGTCGCTTTCTCAGCTGCTTCATCTTGGCATCGACTTCCTCCACCCGGGCCACCTTCTGTGTCATTGTCGTGTTGCTATCGCTGAGGATGGCCTCCCTCGTGTGCTGCCAGGCACTCTTGTCCAGCTCAGCCATCAGCCGCACCGCATCACTCAGCCGATCCAGCTCAGCCTTGTCCGTCACATCATGGGCTTTGATGGCCTCGATACCCGCGTTGAGCGCATCAGTCGCCTTCTGGTTGTCCGCTCGCAGCGCATCGGTGGCCGCCTTAATCTCCGCTTGCACAGTCTCATTACTCGGCAGCGTAGCAACGTTGGCAGCCAGGTTGTTGTTGTCGCCTCTGATGGCGTCGATGTCCGTCTTCAGCGCATAGACGCCGCGGTCGGCTCTGAGTGCGACGCTGTCGGCTTTGATGGCCTCAATGTCCTTCTGCAGGGCGGTGATATCCGACTTGAACTGCCAGGTGAGGTACAGAATGAGGGCGAAGACGGCGACTACTGCGACGGAGCCGCAGCAATTGATGGGAAGAAGCTGGTCGCTGACGTGCTTGTTGACGCGCTTCTCCAGTGCTTTCAGCTGCTCCCCGGCATCGGCGGCATC